TTACATGCGACTAAAGATGAAAACGGCACAATAATGAATATTATAAGAAGAGAGAATTAAGAATTGACGGTTAGATGAAATTAGTAGGAGATTAGAGAGACAAATTTGAAGAAAAAAAAAAGGAAAAAAGAAAGATATATTTGATTTGTAATATTATTCTTTTTTATTTTTTTTTCAATTTCAATTTTGTAAAAGAAAGGTAAATGAAATGGCAAAGGAAGGTAGAATGTAGACGAGATTGTTAGACAAGTTCAGATATTTATATTGTAACCAATTTTTTAGATTTAAATTTAAAATATGAACATATGCATGTTAAGAGATCATTTTTTCTTCAAATTCTACTACAATTTTAAAATGATGATTATTTTTTAAAAGAAAGTATTACATATAAATTAGATCAAAACTCAAAATTTAATGTATATAGATATATAAGGTTTAAAATATTTTAATCATTCGCATGTTATAAATAAATTATTTAAAAATTTTATTACCGTGCGAAGCGCGGCTCAATTCACTAGTTACAATATATTCCCCAACCAATTTCGCTTAATTGATACTAAATCAGTATCCTATATTGTAGGAAAAAAGGACAAATATACCCCCAAACTATTATAAATGGTATGTCAATATCCTCTGTTATACTTAGGGTTATTCATGCCCTTACCGTTAATATTTTAGGTTGTTTTTACCTTTAAGGTTAACAAAGGGACACATGGCTTCATCTAAGCGTATCAACTACATTTATTTTAATTTTTATCTATAAATTAAAAATCCACCCATACGAAGGGTATAGACATGCCATTTATAATAGTTTGGGGGTATCATTAAGACTGATAATTTCGCTTAACTGATACTAAATCAATATCGTATATTGTATATGTATCATTAAGGTTGATAATTTTGCTTACTTGATACTAAACCAATATATATATATATATATCAATCATTGACTAATGATTAATTTCTGAACAAGAAAACCAGTACAATATATGATACTGATTTAGTATCAGTTAAGTGAAAATTATCAGCCTTAATGAATGTGGGGTATGAGCTGTAATTATTTATGAGAGAATGAGTATTTTAGAATTACTTTGAATTTGAGTATGAACCTGTAATTATTTTGAATTTTATGTCCCATTTATGTAGTTTCCCCTTAATTAAATCTATTTACATTGGACCTAATAATAAATAAATCACATTACAACAATATTTATTTGAATTTTGGACTAATATTTTGAATTGAAGACAAATTTCAAATTTCTTGTAGATTTTAAAATATAATAATCTAAATGCCTACAACATGTTAATCAGGGTTTAGACCATAATTATGAACAATTTGGGCATGAACCCTGAATTAATATTTTTAAAATAGTTTTGTTTATTGATAATGGAAGTAGTTCTTTATGGGCTCATGATAATTCAATTGGGCTAGATGCTGAAAAGGTAAATGGGCCGACAGTTAAAATGAGGAAAAGCTGAAGCAACCCATTGCTTAGTGCAAAGTTTGTATCTTCATTCTTCTCATCCCAAGCCAACCTTTGAAACAAGCCTAGTACTTTTAGCGGGCGTTTGATGATGTTTCATCGTAAAATTTAAAAGCAATAGCTTTTATTTTTAAAGTAAAAATGATATTTGAAAATTAGAGTTTTTTTTGTGAGTAAATTGGAGTGAAAAAAAAGAAGTGAAAACACCTTATGGTTATTTTTCAAATTTTTGAAAATTTCTAGAATTGAACTTCAAATTGAATTTCGAAATTTTATGGTCAAGCATGTTTTCGGAGTTCAACTCCCTAAAAAGTGAAAAAATTTAATGGCTAAACACCTCCTAAACTTTCTTCATTTTGTTTTCACTCCGTGTTCAATACTTATATTGTTTAACTATACTCGTGTCGTGAAGTCCCACATTGAAGAATAAAGCGTTTTCTGACAAATGTGACTATGTTTAGGTGCTAGGGTTGAGAAAAGGCCCAAAATAGTCCTTCATCTTTGGGCTAAGACTCAAAGTTATCCTTGAGTTTTCACATGGAGCATTAATAGTCCCTCATGTTTGCAATATTAGTGCACTTTTGGTCCTCCTTCAAAATTTTGCCTATTTTTTAACATTGATTTTATTCATAATTTATGTATTGAATGTTTAATCGTCATTTTATATATTTAGTAGAAATGATAACTCCATTTGTGAGATTGAGAGAAGAAAACCACCTTATTTTGTTTAGTAGAAATCGTATTGCAGGTAATATTTATACTAAATAGAACAAGGTGTTCTTCTCACCTTCTCTCACATATAATTATTATTTCTACTAAATATATAAAAAAGACGATGGGACATTCCTTACATAAAATTATGAACAAAATTAATGTTAAAAAATAGGCAAAAGTTTAGGGGAGGACCAAAAGTGCACCAATATTGCAAACATGAGGGACTATTAGTGCTCCATGTGAAAACTCAAGGATGACTTTGAGTCTTAACCCAAAGACGAGGGACTATTTTGGGCCTTCCCTGCATTCAATAAACGTATTGGATTTGACTATTCTAAATTTGTGTCGAAAAATCCCACATTAGAGATGAAGCGTTTTCTAGCATAGATGATTGTATAGCACATGTTCAAACTTGAGATATCTGTAATGTGTTTTACTTTTATTCGTTGTGTGATATCCTCCTCAAGGTCCGACAAATATTCCGAATTCGCGTCAAGAAGCCCCATATTAAAAGGTAAATTACTCTTGATAAAAAGTCTCATATTAAAAGATAAATTACTCCATGATATAAATAACTAATTCATGTCCAAAACTCAAATCTGGAACCTCTAATTATGGAGGAAAAGTTACTTCACACTACCAACAACCCAATACTTGTTGTAAAGTTAATATATAATCTGTCAATCCCAGTTCTTTTGTTCTTCTCATTGCCATTCCCTAGCTTGGTTATCCCTACTTACACAATATCAAAAATGATTTTTAGTGTCAATTAATTAATGATAATAACTTAATTACTGCTAAATATGTTTTTTTAGAGGCAATTAGAGCTCTTTGTAAATGTCCCTAAAACCTATAGCGGCATTGCATCAAATGACAAGTAACTTATTACAGTATATACTTTAGCACTCTTTATTAATATATATATTATTTTTTTTTAAATATTTTTTTATTATTATTATTATTATTTTTTAATTATTATTATTATTATTATTATTATTTTTTTTTAATTGTTTTTTACCCTCCCTAGGAGCTCTCAGCCCTTTTGCTCCCTTGGTGACTTGAACTCCGCAACTTTCAGGTTGGAAGTGAGGGGTGCTTACCATTCGAGCAACTCCCTCTCGTCAATATGCATATTTATTATCGCTAAAAGTTGATTTTGTTGTAGTGATATAATTATTCATATTTTATAGTTGAAATATGATTACTTACTGATTTAATAAAATTAATTATATATCAATTAAAGTTAAAAACAACATTAGATTATTAAAAAATCAATGACCAAGACTTTATATTATAATAAAGTCTTTATATATAGATTAGTAAATACGGGAAGGATAACGAAGATCAAATTAAACAATGATCAAGACTTTATATATAGATTATTTGATAACAATGACCAAGACTTATTATTATTATTATTATTATTATTATTATTATTATTATAAGGAAAAAAAACAATGACCAAGACTTTATTAAAGTTTAAACAAAGACCATAGACTATAAATAATTGCAAATGATCATTAAAGATGTGGAAAAGCATTATTAAAATTTGAAGAAAGACAATAGACTATAAAGAATTGCAAATGATCATTCAAGATGTGGAAAAGCATTATTAAAGTTTAAAGAAAGGCAATAGACTATAAAGAATTGCAAATGACCAAGAACACTATAGGCCATGTTCTCACGTTATTGAGGAAATATTATAATCCTCACTATGGTAACATCGATAACTTAATAAATAAACAAAGACCAAGACTATTTAGTGACTAAAAATAAATCAGTAAAGGAAAACCAAGACCTTAAAAGAAATATTTCTTTAAGAAAGTAGAGAACTTTTAAATCTTGTACTTCTAAACTAAAATTACGTAGAATGTATTAAAATGATGTTTAATCTTGTGATCTTAAACATGTCATGTCGAAACTAATTTGAATTAAAAAGTTGTTAAAAAGAAAAGAAACATACTTTTTGAAACAGACTAAAAAGTAAGGTCTAACTCATCGGTGGCCTCTTAAAGTTGGTATGAAGTTTCAATTAGACACCTCAACTGAGCAATGTTCATCTTAGATACCTCATGTAGGGTACCGTTGTATCATTTTGACACTCTTTTTTCAATTAACAAAAATATATGAGGTGTGTGTTACTTTGACGAATGACGTGTAAAGTGACAAACTACACGACGACATTTGTCATTTGTGTAAAAACAATTCTTAAACAATAAATTTTGAGTAAAAATAAAAAGTAACCAATGAATATATGAATTTATGCCCAAATAATAAAAAATAATTTAAACCAACAAAATCCCCAGGACCCTCACCCCCACAGTCCTATTTCCATTTGCAGAAATACCCCATCCGCGCGTACCTATCCATGCTCCTTTATTAGTGTTTTCTTCTTTTTATTTCCTTTTTATCCTAATTAGTAGGTTTAGAATTCACAAACAATTAAATTTACTCATATGTAAATATTAAATTCTTTCAATATTTAATATTTGAAATGAGGATGAAATGATTGATCGCACTAGCTCCTTACAGTGATAGACCCAATGCTTGGATGAGCCTTTTTTTGCCAAATGAAAAATTACCTAAACTTTTAACATATGACATGAATGAACTTTTTCTCAAAGTTGGAAGGCATAGTTAAGCTTTTTTCCTTGAATAAAATATCCTACCTTCAATATAAAAATTGACTACAATAACGAATGAGGCATTATGCCCGTCTAGATTTTGGTGAAGTCATTTTCTAGTAAGCAACTTATTTACCAAGATAAGATGCATTTGTAAAAAGTAGACAGTGAGTGAATTATGAATTTCAATTTGAAGAAGATCTGGGACGCATGGGATATTCGTGCTGTGATTCTTTTCAGCCTCACTCTCCAAATAATCCTCATTTTTTTCGCTCCCCTTAGAAAGCGCATTTCAACTGTCTACCTGACACTGCCCCTCTGGTCCGGCTACTTGCTCGTAGAATGGGCTGCTAATTTTGCAGTTGGGCACATCTCTCACAGCAAAGGGGATGATGACCGCTTTGCTGCCGAGAACAAACTTCAAGATGTTCTTGTATTCTGGTCCCCCTTTCTGTTAGTACACCTCGGGGGCCCTGACACTATTAGTGCCTTTGCCCTCGAGGATAATGCCCTGTGGCACCGGCATTTCCTGGGTCTCGTGACCCAGGGCAGCTCTGTGGCCTATGTTTTTTTCCGAACAATTTCCAAAAACAAGCTGTTGATCCCAACGGTGCTGATATTTGTGGTTGGAGTTATCAAGTATGGTGAGCGTATTCGAGCTCTGTATCTTGCAAGTTTAGATCGATTTCGAGAGTCCATTATGAAAGATCCGGATCCCGGACCAAACTATGCCAAGCTGATGGATGAATACTCTTCGAAGAAAGCAGCTAACCTACCGACGAACATAGAGATGATCCACGAGTTCTATGGCGATTTGGAAGAGGAAAAGCCCGTTAAAAAAGGGCTATCTGATCTTGAGGTAGTGGAAGAAGCTCATTACTTCTTTGAGAAATTTAAAGGACTAATTGTTGATCTCATATTTGACTTCCGCCAACGGAATGAAAGTCGAAATTTCTTCCTCAGCTTAAAAGCGATTGATGCTTTTCGAGTTATTGAGGTTGAACTCAATTTCATTTATGATGTTCTTTTCACCAAAATGATTGTGGCTAACTCTTACTGCGGTTATGTATTTCGATTCATCTGTTTCTTTCTCGAAGTTGCTGCCGCGATCCTCTTCTACCGTTGGGATAAAAAGGGACTTCCAAGGTGGGAGATAGGAGTCAGTTACACCCTTGTCCTTGGTGCTCTTATTTTGGATTTCTCTTCCTTTTTTATGCTCCTTTTCTCGGACTGGACGACTGTTGCCCTGAAGAAAAAGGGGTATGTGTTATGGCGTTTGCGTATACCAGCTTGTGGATGGTTGAGCCGCAGGTGGTCTGAATCCATTTCACAATTCAACCTGATTAACTATTGTGTGCGTGGGCGCTCCAAGCGTAAGGAAAGCATATATCAATGGCTTGGGATTGTTGATGTATTGAATGGAATCATGTATGAGAAGTCTGAGAAATTCACTGACCATATGAGGGACTTCATCTATGAGGAAATAAAGAATAAATCTTCACTCGCGGAGGATCTAGAAACAGCAAAGGAAATATGGTTAGCCAAAGGAGATTGGACACTTCGTGCCAATCGCTCTAGTCATCTGCTGCCTTATATTACTGAGTCTAATTTCGACGAGATCCTTCTGGTATGGCACATTGCTACTGAACTCTGTTATAGTAAAGATAATATTGGTAGTGACAAACCAACGAGTTCCCCTGTCAATTACCGTGAGATATCAAAGATTCTTTCAGATTATATGCTCTATCTCCTTGTGATGCAGCCTTCAATGATGTCGGCTGTGGCAGGCATCGGACAGATTAGATACAGAGACACTTGTGCTGAAGCCGAAAAGTTCGTCCTCAGCAGAAACATAATGAAGAGTACTAATAAGGATAATCAAGGCTGCAATAATTTCTTTACTTGTAGCAGTCTAAAGAGAACAACGAATGATAAGGAAGGCGAGCAAGTCCATAAACGTAGAGAGGAAAAACATGTAAGAGCTTGTAAAGCGATCCTTGCAGTGAACGCGGTGGTGAAGCCAGTGCAAGTGAAAGGGGATAGAAGTAAATCAGCCTTGTTTGATGGATGTCGTCTAGCCAAAGAGCTGGAAGAGCTTGATCATGGCATCGATAAATGGGAGCTAATAAGCAAAGTATGGGTTGAAATGCTGTCCCATGCTGCAATTAACTGCAACCCCAATGAACATTGCCAACAGCTTAGCAAAGGAGGACAGCTTATCACTTTGGTCTGGTTGTTGATGACTCATTTTGGTTTGGGAAACAATTTCCAAATTAGTGAAGGTCATGCTAGGGCAAAACTCATTGTGGGCAAGTAGCTTTTTTTCTTTTTCAACTTGTGTAGGTTGTTTTGTGTTTCATTATGATGTTGCTTATTGTGATCTTCTTGATTATTTACATGTCATTTGTTATATAAATAAGTCTTTTCTTAAAGTTTGATGACATATTAGATGTTCTATTACATATATTTTCATTTATAGTAGGGCCGAAGTTGTAATATAATTTTGAAGGTAGAAGCTTTCCACTATCATAAAGTTGCTATACATCCTTGAGGGGAGCTTGTGTTTGAAAACTATATGCACCGCAGAAGCATACCAAAATCTTATTCCTTACATAAATAATAGATAACCAATACCGTTTATGCTAGAACACATAAGCATGCTAGAACACATAAACTTGTTGAAATTTAATTCGATAAATACCTCTTGAAGCGTGAGCAGATATCTTCAAGCAAATCAGACAGACCTTCAAGTGAATCCACAAGATAGACAACAACTATGGTCTTCTATAGTGATTCCAAGTTCACATCCGAACTCTCTCAATACTTGGGTGGGCAAGTATAGTATAGAAAACTGATTGTCTTTCTAGGTTAGGAGAAACCTATTTATAGAGATTTCTTCCCAGTCCAAAAATGAGTTATTTTCCTTCATGAAAAAGAAACACACGTTTCTTCTCCAAAAAATACACTCCTTTTTTCTTTTCCCTAAAAAATAAGATTCTGAGTTCTAGTTAAATATGGGCACTGTAGGACCACATAATTAATTATTGAGGCTTCATATTATGGAAATAATTCCAAATAATTAATTTGAATTATTCTTACTATAATAAATGACAAATCATTCCACTAGAAATTCGTAATTGCACTTCTCTATTTATATTTCGTAGTTCCCCATTAAACACTTATGTAATTCCTCATGTTAAGATTACAGATACTAATCAATAAATTAAATTACTGACGAATTTAATTCAATGATTAATTTCCTTCAGAGCACTGCTTAACTTATTTCATGTGTCGAATTCATAAATCCACTTGCAAGGTTTGGCACGATGAAAACTTATAAGTTTCTCCAAAAGACATATCAATCAATCTCTATAACGAGACATGGATTCCATCAACTAACTTATTATTTCACCAATATATATTATTATCATTATTATTATCCAATCTACTAGGCATATTGATCCATCTCAGAATCTCACCTTTTAATAAATCAAAATGATAATTAATATATACAGATCATAATAGTTATATCAGGATTAAGAATATAAGTACATTTAATATTTAGAAATATATTTTTGTCAGTCTAAAACAACTATCTCTACTTGGTTCCATTCAATACATACAAAATGCACTAGCACAAGAAGTTGAAACTATACCGTTCCCATAATCAAGATAAATTACATATAATCTTGTGCTACAATCGTACTGATGGCATATCCAATTCCCATCCTAGATTGTGAACAAAAAACTTTATACTTATAAGAACCGATGATTTAATCCTCTGTGTATAAGCTAAAACTCTACCCTCTTAAATCATCTACTATATAAGTAAACAGACACCATAAACGAATATATGATCTATTAAAACCGAGCAAATATTTATTCTATAATAAATATTATATCTTAACATATGGTTAATAGTATATATCCCAACAATCTCCTACTTAGACTTTTAACCATCACAATTGTTATAATGTACTATATCTAAATGCATGATTAATAGTATATACCCTAACAATCTCCACTTGGATATTTAATCTTGAAAATTGTTAGAATACTATGTCTAAACACATGATTAATAGTATATACCCTAACAATCTCCCACTTAGACTCTTAACTATGCCTTTACAACTTTCACAAGCATTCCTTTATTTCTTATCAAAAGAAATTTACTAAGTTATTTTTTTCATGCTATTTTGTCTAGTAGTGTTTCGTCGTAACAAATCGATTTTGTACTAGATCTTGAGAGAGCTTCTCATGAAACCTTTCAAGAGTGTACTTCTATTCAGGAAATCCATCATAAAAGTTCTCTCAAGCATACAAAACAAATCAATCTTCTCTATGATTCTCCCACTACGACTAAGCACTACTATGTTATCACCCTTTCATGATCTTGAGTCTTAATATTTTCTTCAAAATCTTTCGATATTGAAATTTTAACAACTTTTCATGTAGTGTTCTTTAATTTGCTCAACATCACTTCCACTACTTGAGGTAGTAGGTTTCTTATGTCTAGTAATGTTTCTCCCACTACTTAAATGCAATGGAACGTCATTTCTGACATACTGATTAGATGTTTTTGAGCGTCTGAATTTACAATTGACTTATTTGTTATTTATTTGTTCAATTCCTGTAAAACTAGTTTACTTCTAGGAACATGGTTTACTAAATAATCTTTTTCTAGAAATCAGACATTTATGTTAACAATTGCCTTATTTTCTTTAGGACACTATATTAAACCTTCTTTCATTCTTTTAGGATATTCAATTAACACACACATTCCGTTCTTAATTTCAATTTTCTTATTCTCCCACTCAGCACATGTGCTGAACAATTCTATATCTGAATATGTCACATATTAGACTTACGTCAAATCCAACTAGTTCTATAGTTGTTCAAGGTACTTATTTGAAAGAAATTGAATTCAGAATGTGATATGTTGTTATTAGAACCTATCCCAAAAGAAACAAAATAACTAATAATAAGTCAATAATTAATCTTATCATCTTCATAAGAGTCTACTTCTTTTCTCTTCTACACCAATCTATTATAGAGTGTCTAGTGTAGACAATTGAAATGCAATTATTCTATAAGATAAGTTGCTTATGAGCTCTGCAGAGAGGTTTACGTCACTACCATCAGATTGCAGTGACTTTATATATTTTTCATGATGCTATTTTCATATGTCTTTAATATTTTGAGTTTATCAAGACATTTAGACTTACAAAACATCAAAAATATATTCATATCATGAGTAACCTTCTTGAAAACTCAGATAACTCAAATTCACCTCTTGCCCAAATGCTCATTTATTACACAAATCAGAATAAATTAATTATAACTTATCACTACCTCTTTTTCCTTTTTAAGAGGAAAGGTCTCTTAGTCATTTTTTCCTTCTAAACAAGACTCACATGTTGGTAGTGACTTCACTTTCAATGAACCGTTATGTTCATCCATTTACCAAGCTCGAAGTTCTATTTAGAATAAATGACTTAGACACTAGTGTACAAATAAGTTTCATTCAATTTAAAAGATATTTTTCCTTATGAGACAGATTAATATAATTCAATTCATGAGACATAATACTAATAAAAGAATCACGCATCAATATACCACAAGAAATAAAATATTAATCAAACACAATGATAGGAGAGTTACAAACAAATATATTAAATACTCATCTCTTATCTAGTTAGAAACTGAAAATAATTCCTTCTAACATAAGGTACATGTACAATGCATTCTTTGAATTAATATCTTTATCTCTACCAAAAGAAAAGCTTTAGTAGTACTAAGTGGGTGCGTTAAGTCTATTGAGAATATGAGATATAATACTTTAAATAGATCATAATATTTTGAATAATCCTAAATAACAAAATTCAGGGCTCATTTATACATATATATCCATGCATCTAGAATAGCCAATCGATGGGATTGGAGTACTACTTATGCAATACACATGTACAATGACCGATTATTCATTCCATAAACTTATACAGACCTAACTCAGATGGAGAGTCTACTGTTAGTTTAAGTCAAGTGAAAATCCTTTAGTTACATTGATCCAATCCTATATTACTCAGTTTAGGAGATTTAATACAGATTATCAAAACTAGACGATTAAATACATAGTGATTCGTATTAATTTCATCCGATAGGAAGGAAGGTCTAAGCCAGCACATAAAGCTAATACTTCACTACTATTCAATCAAATATGACCAAAACCTCATATAACGATCCAAAAAAAATTAATTTCTTACTAGGTCGTTCTTATGAATCTACCAAATTTCAGATCAATCAGAGTTCTTTTTTTTCGAATTCCAAAACTATGATCAATTTGGTTGAAAACGTTATATGGTCAAAATAGAGTTTAAAATTTTTTCCGTTCGAAAATTCTTATCACATGACACATATCATCATTTGTGAAATAGATACACAAATCAAGAACCAAGAACAAAATTTTAAAAATTATTTACTTTATCTGAAACCTATTTTCCAAAAAACAATTCAGCAATGTTTATGAATGTATTGAATACAAAAATTCAAAACACACCTCATAGATATCCATGCATCTTGAATTATAAATTTTGATGAAAAAGTGATTACTCATGTAACATATATATGTGGTGTCAGATATTCACTTCAACAAATTTAGAACAAAGCTAACTCAAATGGAGAGTATATGTTAATTTAAGTCCCCATTAAACACTTATGTAATTCCCATTTAAGATTACACACACTAATCAATAAATTAAATTACTGATGAATTTAATTCAATGATTAATTTTCTTTAGAGCACTGCTTAACTTATTTCATGTGTCGGATTCATAAATCCACTTGCAAGGTTTGACACGATGAAAACTTATAAGTTTCTCAAAAAGGCATATCAATCAATCTCTATAACGAGACATGGATTCCATCAACTAACTTATTATTTCACCAATATGTATTATTATCATCCAATCTACCAGGCATAATTGACGGATCTTAGAATCTCACCTTTTAATAAATCAAAATGATAATTAATATATACAAATCATAATAGTTATATTAGGATTAAGACTATAAGTACAATTAATAGTTTAGAGAATATGTTTTGTCAGTCAATCTAAAACAATTATCTCTACTCGGTCCCGTTCAATACATACAATATGCACTAGCACAGGAAGTTGGAACTATACCGTTTCCATAATCAAGATAAATTACATATAATCTTGTACTACAATCGTACCGGTGACATGTCTAATTTCCATCCTAGATTGTGAACAAAAAAATTTATACTTATAAGAACCGATGATTTAATTCTCTATATAT